AAGCCAACTGAGAACTGCACAATAAAAACACAGGTAAAAGTAAAAAAAACCAATGCTAATAGTGGGAATGATGAAGAAATGAAGACTTGGCGGCCCAAACCAGGCGCCACTCAGTACCCGTGTCAAGGTTTTGTGCAACAGTGAATTCTGATTCTTCAGTCTGTGAGCTTCATCTACCACAAGCACCTTCCACTTCCACCTGAGGAGCAGAGTGAAGTAGTGAAACGAGGAATTAATGAATGAAAACTGATTATTATAGCTTCAACATTATTCCTTATGATGACATCCATTTCACACTCACCGTCTCAAGAATGAAGCATCTTTAAGACACAGCTGAAAATGAAAAAAAGCACGTCAGTTTCAACATAAATTAACCTTTAGGTCATTTTGTTCTTATAAAATAGCCACAGACCTCATATGTAGTGAGCAGAACATGAAAGTCCTGTGTGTCTGTTTCCCTCTGAAGCTCAGCCCGTCTCTCTTTGTCTCCGTTGTAACACAGAACAGTCAGAGAGGGCGCGAAGCTGTGACCAAGTAAAACACAGTTTAGGATTTATTAACAGTCTGTGATGGATTGTGTTATGAGTGGATTATAGAAAATGGATGTAGATTCATATATGAATGCGTAAATGTGACTGTACCCTTCCAACTCCCTTCTCCAGTTTTCCATGACAGAGAGCGGGCTCAGCACCAAGAACGGACCTTTCTTCCCAAGACCTCCTGACATGTACACCAGCAGAGAGATTGTCTGAAGGGACAAATTATGATTATGAATTCATGACATACAAAAATATTTTTACACATCAGTTTACAGTGCCTGCATCATTTATAAAGCACAAACTCTACTGTGAAGAGTCTCAGTTAAGGAAACAAGTTACATTTGCATGACTTATCTGTATTGTGTAATATTTGCTTAGAATATGCAGCACAAACCAATATCAAATTATAGCCAACGGTTTTTTTTTTGAGTGAGAATCAAGTGTGCCAGTGAGTCAGCATACACAGTGCACTACATACAGCCATTACTGCGGTGCATTTCCTATTATAAGATGTGAAAAATAATCTAAAAACCCACAGGTGATGTCATTGTGTCCACAACCTAAAGTTATTGCATTTACTATCATAGTAACAGTAAAGCTTTAAATCTGCATAACTGAAAAGCTGAAACTTAGTTATTTTTGTCTTGAAACTAAATATTTTAATTAATTTACTATATATGGGGTATCAAAATAATGTGTAAATATATTTATTGATATAAATCTGAGCAGGTACTGACATTCTTTACCACTGAGCCCATTTTGACAGGTCACAGTAGGAAAAGCACAGGTTTAAATAATACAATTGTTAATGGCTTAATTCCAGTTAGCTGCTTCAGGCTCACTGTGACGGCTTACTAGAAATCATTCATATTAAGCATTACATTATTATTATATTAGCATAATATCTACACTAAACTGGAGAGGGCTGGTGAAAGCATTGTAATTAAATAAATAAAAACCTGACCACTGAAATACTCTTATCTGTATAAAAACATGCATCACTAATATCAGTTATAAAGAAGGCTGATTGATCCAACACCTGGCATGTTTTCCCCAAACCCATCTCGTCTCCCAGAATGCATCCCTGCTGGTTCTTCAGGCACTGAGTTAACCACTGCACGCCATCCAGCTGGTAAGGTCTCAGCTGTATCCCTGTGAGGAGGAGACAACCGCTCATCACTGCTGGGCCTGCTACATAACTTATAAACACTGTCAATGGAAACAACATCAACCCTCCAATGTAAACAACATCAATTAATGACAAATCAACCCTCTATGTAAAAACAGGGTCAACCCTCAAACTGGAAGAGCAACCTCAACGCTTAATGAAAACAACATCAAACCCGCGCCGTCGCAAGGTGGGGAAGGAAGAACCCAGCACCCGGCGCGTCGAAGTGCGCTCAGGGAGCAACTCCAGCGCGCTCCAATGCAATGGAAACAACATCAACCCTCTAATGTAAACAACATCAACCCTCCAATGGAAACAACATCAACCCTCTAATGTAAACAACGTAGTAGTAACATATTAGTCTGAGACAAACAAACAACAAAACAAATGCAACTTTTGCAAATGCAAAACAAAACAAAAGCTACTTTAAGCACCGTGTAAACAGTAAACAGTAAAATGAGCAAAGTTCATGAATGAATAAAGTTTGATGAACTTTCAGTTACTCGACCACGTTAGCAGTCCTCCATACCTCTTAAACCCCACTTCTGTAGGTCGCTATGGGCAACGGCCGTCTTCTGTTTCTCTGCCACGTTGCTTTTTATTTTTAATAAAATGTCTGTCATGTTTTCAGACCGACTGGGCTCACACATGTAACAACTTCTGCTGGCACAGACATGTACAGACAAGTGAGTCTTCAGTGTTATCTGAAACTACACTTCCTGAATGGGTCACGTGAGGCGGGAGAAAAGGCGCGTCACAAATCCGCGCGCCTGTTAAGAATATGGTTTATTAACAAATAATAAAATATGATATATTAAAATATGTAAAAATAGTATTTATTGAACATTTAAAAATAGGATATAATAAAACGTTTAAAAATAGGATTTATTAAAACATTTAAAAATAGGATATATTAACAAATAATAAAATATGATATATTGAAATATTTAAAAATAGGATTTATTAAAACATTTAAAAATATGATATAATAAAACATTTAAAAATATGATATATATATAAAATATGATATTAATATAGTAGGCTGTATTAAAACATGCAAGTATTTATAACTTATAACTTGTATTTGCAATAACTTCAACAGTATAAAGATTTTAAAAACTGTTATTTATAACATAATAACATCACATAGATACAGTCAGGAGAAGTATTGAGATCTTTGAAGGTTAAAGTCTTAAGCTAATTAAAATTTCTTTATATAGGCTACTGATTGCTTCATATTGAGAAGCTAATCATAGTCTTTGTATGTAAAATATTCATATTATATATATATGTGTATATATATATACACATATATTTATATAATCAGGCTTGGGGACTAACTGATTACATGTAACTCAGTTATGTAATCAGGATACAAAAAACGTAACTGTAATCCACTTCACTCAGAAAAAAAATCTGTTTTTCTTTAAAAATACACTGAGCAGAGGACACATTTTCCCATTTTTTACGTTTCCATTTTCTTTTCAAAGGTTAAGTTATCAATACTTCTTATTGATATTTCTTTTCTCTTGTCTTTTTTTGCATAGGCTTAATATTTGATGTTGAGATAAACCAAAAGTAATCAAGTAAGTAAGTAAAGTTATATTACTTTGATATTGTGATACTATTACTGACTATCTATATTGTTTAACTGGTAGTTAGTAATTGTATCAGATTACATTTGTAAAGTAACCCTCCCAACCCTGTATATATTAACGTTAAACACTACAGCTGTCAGTGGCAACATGAGGTGAAAGTGGAGTACAATTATCCTCTGAACTGAATGAAGTAGAAGGGTGAATGTGCAGCATAAACTTTATAATAGAAAAGTACACTACTTGATTAAATACTGTAAAGTTACTTTTCACCACTGACGCTGTGAATATGGAAAATTTCAATAAAAATTCCGTCCACCCTGCACCATACATATATGAACCCAATTATCTGATGGCTAAAAGATGACACAGATATGCCTGTGTAATCTTTAATGTTTACCACAACCAGATTAAATGATTATATTTCTGCACAGACATTTGTGGTGGCTCCACAGGTGTTCTCTGAGGGATGCTTGCCCACCTGCTGTCTCCTCGTCTGCCATTTTAAAGGCTCTCTAGAGTGCAGGATATTCAGGTTCATCCAGCAGCTGGAAGTAAACCAGGTTACCCACCTCTGGAGGTTTGCAGTCATCCGAAAGTTTACCTTCCAAGCTTCATTTGTTTTGTCTGCCTCAACAGATTGGGGTCTCCACCTCTGGCAGACTGCTCTAGTTCAGCAGTCCAGTCCGTCTCACTGTCCTGATCTCAAAGTCTGCAGACTTTTTTCTGAGTGGAGGCAGTAACTCCTGATTCCCTCGGCTCACAGCATAACTCTGTGTAAAGTCTGTTCCTGCCTTTCCTCTTTCCAATCTGGAACATGTTTCTGGGTGCTCTGGTTCACTGTGTATCTGTTTCTCATCTTATCTGAGTTTCTGTATTTATTGACTGTCTATTCACATAAACACACAATGTAACACAAGCATGTACTGATGGATGTCACCATTATCTACATTACATGTACATGTTATAGATGTTCCTTTACTCATACACTGAATAAAGATAGAATGAATAACAATAAATGCAAAACACACTTATTCTTCTCATGTATATTTAATAGACTTTTCTTTCACATTGACATGCGATTTACAAACAGCAGAAAACTGATATTTCTGGTAATGAAAACATTGGCAAACACAATTGGAAACCTGCCCACTATTAACTGCTGTCTCTGTGTGAAAGTCTAAATATTTAGCACACTGTCATCAAGCCTTTTACTCACTGTGTCCATGGTGGATAAACATAATAACATAATAATCAGGCTAAACTGTTACATTAAACTACCTCATGAGAAAATATTTTTAAAATTCAAGATATCTTTAAAACTTTATTTATTTAATTAAACTGCCACAGTATCAGATAAAGTGTCGAACCTCTTACAATATACTTCTAAATATAACTTCTAATAAAGCAACCTTTGTGCAGTGTTACAATTGAGACCAAAATAACACAAAACATTCAAGGAATGAATATCTGTCAACTATGTTTGTGTTTCACAGAAATATCACTTTCTTATCTCTTCTTATCACTATCTATCTTACAAATATAATCAGGATCAATAAATACATGTTTTATATTGTTACAGACCCACAAAATAAACTAAGTGACCTTTTAAACTGTTGATAAAAAAATACCTTCCAGGCACCAAAAGCATCATTAAATGATGGAGGAAACTGTATTTTATATTGCCCCTGTCTGATCTTTCTAGCTCAAGTGTTCAGGCTGTGCCACACTTACATTTAATCCTTTAAATCATTTAAATAATGACACTTTCATGTGTTCATTTACAAAAACATTAGTACATTCATTTATTACAAATATTTACACATATTACAAACCAAGCCCAGGCTCATTAAAATTGGTATATGTAATCAATACGTACCAAAAATCAATCTGCTTAATGAATGAAGCGGAAAGAAGAAAAAGATCATTGGAGATAAAATGTGTGTATGTGCAGCAGGAAGAGTCACAGACCTTCTGTTTCAGTAACTTCAGTAAGAGACCTGCCCCTTTCTTTAACACTTCATCCAGACAGAATCCTTCGTAAAAAGACCTCATGTTGGCCTCACTTCAGGCACATCGCCACAATCTTCATTATTGCATCCCTGGAAAGAAACTCACACAGATCAGACATCCAGACAGGCGTACACATTTTGATTCTGAACATTTGATTGCAGCCGATTTGAATAAATGGAGTTTAAATGACAAACCTCACAAACGGGATGTACGACAGGCTGTACCTGCAAACAAAACACATTTTATGTTATATATAACATTTATATACACAATTTAATTTTCCTTTCAGACTAAAATCCACAGAGAGAAATTGTGACTCACCAGGTAAACGACAAGACTTGCAAGATGCAAAATAACAAAGCCAGACCAAAGTTCTTCCACTGTAAGAAAAAAACAATAAAACTGCTGACTGAGAGAGAATCAGACTTAATAAACACTGTATCATTAGTTAGAAGTGATCATCAACTCACCCAGAAGGCTGCGCAGAGAGTCAACACAAGGCAGGTCTAGAGTAATGAAAGGGACAAATGGAAACAACAATATGTTTTTTAACTGGTTGAATATTGGTTGACACAGTGTGACACAGTGAACTTACGGAGTAGCCTAAATGTAAATAAAAAGTCAGTTTTCTATCCGGGTTAATAGCATCATATTTCCCTTAATTAATTTCCCTGTAGAGCTCTGTAGACTGATAGTGAAATATAGCCAAGAAACAGAGTAAAAGGAAAAGTCAGCAGCTACTTTTGTGCACTCACAATCATTATAGTAGTGGCCAGCGCTCTTGTTTTGTCACACATCCTCTTCAGCTGCTTCATTGGGCCCATCAGGAACATAGTGCTGTTAGACATCATAGAATAAGACATTCAATGTGTATACAGTGCCCACATGAATGAAAACTACTGGTCATATAATACAAATCAAACCATCACTTCTTATTGTTGTTGGACACTGACCTGCACAGAGCACATAAGTTTCCAAAAGTGTAGAACACAATGAAGAGAGTGAGCCCAATCCTGGGGAGGAACAGCATGCACACTCCCTGCAACACAGACATGAAGACATGTGGTTTGTGGCTTTTTGGCTTTTTGGGCCACAGATAAACTTTGGTCTGTGAGCTGCAGTTGGCACTTTAAGGCAGGGCTGCTTAGTGAAATGAATGACAATCACATCTTCCACATTCCTCAGACCAGAAGAACCAGAAGGGCCACTTCAGCCCTCCCTGCGCTCTTCCTTATTGCGAGGAGCACAACATCACAAATAGCACATTATTATAGAAATCATTATAGATCCTTACCAAAATCGTACACACGCCCCCAACCACAAAACAGGCGACGAATCCCTTCACACGTGTGCCCCAGCCCAACGTGGAGGCTTCATTGACAGTCTGCATTGACAGAGTTGCATCGATTAATCGCTCAGCTGAGATGAAAGTTTACACTGTGTAGGCTGGAGTTAGAGTTTAGTTTTACCTCTAAGACAGTTCGGTCGTCTCTGCGCGCCTCCTCACCGCTTAAAACAGACTTAAGTTTATCCATGGCTGAAGATCCTCAGAGTCGACAGGACTGGTGAATGAGCTGGTCGTTTCCTGGAGTGGGAATTAAAATTAGCTGGTTTCCTCAAATCTGTGAGGATGGTCAGCAAAGTCACGTGGCTGCCGGAGGAGCCGTCAGGTAGTTTACCTGCACAGGTGGATGGCTTCAGGTGAGTTACTCACACCAAAGCACAGAAACAGCCGAGAGCTCTCACTCTGATCTGTACTTTCCCACAGGGAGAAGTTGACTCTAATGAGCCAGATTAAAACGAGTTATACAATGACTAAGATCAAGCTCGCCTAAGAAATTACTTTCATATTTTATTTTATTTCACATAGGCTATTTACTTTACGTGTATTTTTATTTGATCGTGGATTCATTGTTTACTGTCAACTAAATGTTTGTATAAGAAAATTGACATTTTATACCTCGTTTGTTAATCAAGAAAAATAATTGGCGGATTGATCGATAATGAAATTAATTGTTAGAAGCAGGCCTAATTATATAGAATAGTTTCAGGTTTGTAGCATACCAACCAGACTACTTGTTATAACCAAAGGACATGTGATGAACGGAGTGATTGGTCTTCTTGAACACATACGATCTTTGTTGACGCCTGCTGTGTTGTGCTGTCCTGACCAAAATAAGTTTGCAGGAGCAATTTATGAGCCATATGAAACTATTTATTTTCCTCCTCATTAAGTGATGCATTGGTGATCATTTTGTGTTGATGTGACTAATATAATAAGAAATGGTAGATAACATGTATCTCAGTGTCTCACAAAAGTATAAATTCGGTGGATAGTATTATTATAACATTTTGAATTATATAAAAGTGTCACTATAAACGTTGTGTTAGGTACTACTGTACACGCTGAATAAATACTGCAGAAGAACTGCATAAACAACATTAGCAACTATTAATATTGAATATTAGTAATAATGTCAAATATTACAATATAAACATTTAAACATCTTTAATACAAGTCTTATTTTTGGCAGTTGTATGTCTCACATGTGTAACAATATGGAACAAAAAAGCTATGTAAAATACTTAAAGATATGCTTTCAAGTAAAATATGCAGTACTAAGGATGATTGTTTTCACCACAAGATGGCGCTACTGAACACCAAAATGTCTGACAAGGAAAGTTTGGCAAATGAAAAGCATGCGATCCATAAAAAAAGCTTTCCCATATGAGTTCATGTTCACTTATAGTGTGCAAAAGAACAGCGGAAAAAAAGAGATATGACAGAGTATATGAAAAGTATTAGGCCACAGTAAAATAAATAGCAATTAACAATGAGAATAAGGCTGAAAGGTTTACAGATGGTTAAGTAAGGCAGAGGTAGAGATATATTTTTAAAGTAAAGCATCCAGATACCAGGTCCTTATCCCTTCTCTGTCTGCATGCTTCGCCTCTTGTCGTACTGCTGCTGGAACTGCAAACATTATATCCCTGATTTAATTGTGATATATAGGAGTCACAATGTAAGTGTACAACAGTCCTTTTCATAAAATCTCATCTTCTGACTCTGGATCCCTGTCTCTGGGCTTCAGAAGTCCCATTTCCATCGGAGGAGTCCTCTTCAATCTGGAGCGAACCACACTACAGAGAAAGCACAACAAACACCAGAGTCACACACAACATAAACTGTTTGTAGTGAGTTATTCCCAGTGTGGATGAATCTGCAAGACTGCCATGACAAGTGAACAAGCTTATGGGAGTCCAGGGTGGAGCAGGTTCTTACCAGCTGACGGTGCAGTAGAGCACGCCCACAACGAACATAGCGAAGGCGAGGTGCCAGGAGTAACACATGGTGATGAACATCATATTGTTATGATCCTTTAGGTCCCACTCAGGGCCATGGGGAGGGTACAGCACAAAACCAATCTGTGGCCCAAGAGAGAGCAATGTCAGGAGTTATTACGCGCTGCCATAAACTGTTGCTCATACATGCAGGCGTTCAGATTCACCTGCCAGAACCAGCTTCCCTGCAGGAGCGTGAGGGTGCAGCGCAGCAGCTCCAGCAGGATGTTCCCTCGGTGAAAGACCTCCAGGAAGGCAACAAAAGCATCTCCAAAGATGGCATAGAGAAGGAGCTGATGTACATGGACATCCAGCATACTCCTGCCATGGAGGTGGTAGAGGAAAAGAAATCCTACCAAAACAAAGAGCGTATCATGCAAGCAAAGTATAGCAGGTAAAGGTAAAAAGGCAAAATATGTTTTCACATATTTATTACTTTCAAGTTCCATGCTGCCATTTGTAAATTTGTGAACTGTCAAATGGCATCTTGATTGCATTTTTGTTTTTCATCCAGTTATAAGCCTGCTTTCATGTGCACTTTTGTGTGTAGGATTTGGTGGCATCTAGCGGAGGACTTGCAGATTGTATTAATATAAATAGAAAATATTGTAACAAATAAAATAAAAGTGTATGATAGATTCAAATGAACACATTTGCAACCCAATTGGTGGTGCTGATGAAGTTGTAATCGATTTAATCTGATAGGGCTGTGAATGTCACATCTTTATCTTTTTTATTTAGTGGCATCTAATGGTGCAGATTGCAACCATCTGAAAATACAGCTCACAAAGTTCATTCCAAGTGTTTAGGAGCAACTACAATGGCAGCGTAACTCTCAAAAAACATTCTGGGATTCTGTAGAAACATGGTGGTTCAACATGGCAGCCTCTGTTAAAGAGGACCCGCTCCCTCTGTAGATACACTGATAAAAACATATCTATGAATATT